AATGTGAAATGACTTCCCAATGCACTTCTATTTCAAAGCAGGCTAGCTTGTCCTCACCTTAGGCTGGAACTCTAATGGGGCAGTTAAGTATCCTCACTTGGGGCCTCAGGATAGTGTAGTAAGGTGTCCCCTTAGGCTGGCATGTTGGGAGCACAAAGGTCCTTTTGCCCATAGATCTTCAGGGAAAACAGAAATTTTAAACAACCAGAAAGGGAAGGACATATGAACTGTTTTTGCAGAAAGCTGGGAACTGGAAGTGATTAATAGCCCAGTGATCTGAATTTTCTGTTGGGCCAGGCCCTATCAAGTTCCCACAACCAGGACCAGAGATGTCTAATAGTCTAAATGACCCTTACATTATCTATGTAACCAGGGGCTCCCCCAACCTCGCTCAACCAATACCAGAGGTGGCTAATAGCCCAAATGATCTCTATGCTGTCTATATGACCAAGACCAGCCCAGATCCTTTCTTAGGTTTTTAAGCTAATGCAAGCAGCCTATTTCCATAACCCATCTTCTTGGAAGAAATGATAAGCCCTGAGTTGAGTTTCGCTATAATTATGCTTCCTTGTAAGCCAGGGATTGCATGCATTCCACCAAGAAACTTTTCTCCCAAATTATGCTGTGTTTAAATATACTGGCAACAAGCCACCCAGCACCAGACTCCCCTAAATTTTCATTTTCACCTCATTGTGATTCATTTCCCTGCCTGAAGGGACCGCCTCTGTGCCCACTTTCCCACCACTGACTGTCCACAATGGCTCACACACACATTGTGTGTGGTGCTAACTATCACATTTAGTTGGGCTGGAGATGACACCCACGCCAACATGAGGTCTCTCCTCTCTGTCACAGCCATCTCAGGGTGGAGGACCTCAGCATGCAGCTCTCTGCCTTCAGAGCAAACATCCCAGGAAAGCCAGGTAGAAGCTTCCAAGACTTAGTTCACCCATCCTCAAAGCTGTGCTGGTGAAAGCGTGCACAACTGCCTGGTGTCACACAGAGGACACACACAGCCCGACAGCTAACAAGAGGACTGGGGAACCACAGTGAAAGATGGGATAGACTACCTTGGAAAACAGACTTCGCCACATTTATGCCCTTAAACGGCTATGCTTGGACGATGTCATGAAGACACTGAAGACTTCAACTGGAAAACTCCTCTCGGAATGAACAACATCCTTATTCCTAAGCGTTAGAACACGGGTGGGTTTTACGAGGAACACTAAATAGGCAGATTCATTTTCAAGTTTGTTTTATTTGAGAGTTTTCTTACTTGCTGCGGGATTAAGGGCTATTTTAGAAGCCCCTGGTAGTAAATGCGTAAGTCCCCAGCTACACAGAACCGGATAGTCTTGGTAATCACGCCATCTAGGGAGATGCTAGGAATCGCCAAATGAATGTTATGAGTATCACAAAATTTTAATCTAACTGACTGATTAAAAAGTCTCTTATAGCTGGGTGGTGATGGCCACATGCCTTTAATCCCAGAACGTTGGGAGGCAGAGGCAGGCAGATCTTTGTGAGTTCAAAGCTAGACTGGTCTACAGAAAGAGTTGCAGGACAGCAAAGGCTACACAGAGAAACCCTGCCTTGAATATCTAAAGGGGGGGAGTTCCTTATAAAGATGACCGTCCATGAAGTTTACATCACACAGGCACTTTGCCAACGGTACCTGGCTTTGCGAATATGCAGCTGAGGGTAGTGGTCATGCCTGTGACATATGTGTACTGCAAAATCTTCATCATAGGTCAGACATGGAACGTTCCCCACTAGGTCAAACACAGTTATCAGAGTTGAACCTAAATCACAGAAAGAAATGTATCCTTTAATCAAGGGATAACTTCAAGATTTCAGAAAAAAAAATGAGGTCCCCATTCCACTTGGAGATTTACTGGCTGTAATCAAGTACCAACATGATATGCTTAAAGTCCAGGGACCAATCTTCTTTCCCATTCCCAAGAGTGCTACTTTCAGCTTCAGTTCCTTGCCAGTTTCTGGGGGCACCGGGTTGTTGAGGACCTTACCTAGGCTCACTTATGTTGGCACTATAAGGAATATGAAGTATAGTTCTGGCACTGCCTTGAACACAGTCCTGGGGAAGAAAGATGGGATGGGACGGTGTTAGTAACAAAGCAGCCACATTGCCTGCCCCTGAGAAAATGAGGTGTCTGGAAAGTCACACGAACTCAGTGGCTCCCTGCTAGTCAGGGCCAGAGCATCTCCTGGGCGATTTCCTTCCTCTCTACTTTTCCTTCGATTCCAAAGAGCTCCCCTCCTGTCTGTCTGGTGGAGGTCGAGCGAATAAAGGGCATGACGCCCAAGCAGCACACCAGATTTCTGCTGACATTAACCTCTGACCTGGCATCTGGATGGTCTGGTGTGACATTACAAAGTGACTTGAAAGCTGAGCCACCCACCCCCACCCCGCGGTCTGTACAGGCTGTCAGAGACACATCGCCACAGCGCAATGGCCCTGCTCATCCTCTTTCCACACACCCTGCTATTCAGGATGCTTCTGCGGGCGGTCATGTCGATGTAAACTTCTAAAGAAAAGACTGAGGAAATCTTACACTGAAAACACGTAAGTCTGCGAGCCTTCCCTCGTTCCTGACCACCCCGATCCAGTTCTTTAAATTAGTGCACTACCTGTTGGCCTCAAGTGATAGCAGTTAAAAACAGGGGCTCGAGAGAGATTGGATTTTAAGAATTAGATTATTTCCTTTTGGAAATACTGCTGCTATTAAATTAATAGAGGATTAATGTTACAACAAACTATAAGCAAATTAAAGGCTCCAAAGAACTTTGTTTCATTTGAAAAATACTCCATACGGCATCTTTCATGACCACCGTCTGTGCCGAGTCACCCACTCACCGAATGATCTCTTTGAGGCAGCCAGTGGCATACTCGTCCACAGCCACGAAGAAGTGCATAAACAGTGTATTCAGAGGCTGCAGGAGAAAGAACGTGTGGATAAAACACTGGACCAGACAGAGCAGGGCTCAGAGCAGTCCCAAGGACAGAGCTGGTCAGGATGTGTGGGTCACAGCTTACGCCAAAGTGACAAGACACCCACGTAGCAGTTTAAGCCCTCTGTCTCACTAGCTTGGAATTAGCTAAGGAAGTGGAGATTGTGAGTCTAGAGTGCCCAGCCCCTGCTCCTGCCTTCATGGAGGAATTGTGGGTAGGGAAGAGCCTGCAGGGGAGTGAAATCGATTACAGACTCCATAGTCTTGCCTTTGGGGGTGTCTATGCCAAGTGAAAGACAATCACCCTTTCCCTGGGGCTCCTGAGCCAGCAGCTGCTGCTCTATTCATTGGACACGAGGGAGAGATTCTCTTATGAAATTGAAGGATGGAAGGCAGATGCTGCATTAGGAATCCAAAGGCTTTTTTTGTTCAACATTCCCGGAGTCCCAATCAACTTATTATTCCTGCGATCCAGAAAACCTGGGAGCTAAAAATGCAGAGAAGCAAGAGTCTCCCGTGGCTTTCGGAATCCGAGTTCTAAAGGGGCTTTGTCCTCTGACTCTTGGATGATTAGCTGGCCTAATTAAGACTGGTGCTCCTTTATGGTCATCTCTCGGTTCCTGTATTCATGAAGGTTCTAGAAATAATCGTACTTGCATTTCCACTGGGGAAGTGGGAATCTCCTGCTTCCTGATTTCTTAGTAAAGCTGCTCCTCCCTCAGTATTTGGGGTGTTGGTTCCAGGACCTCTGCAGATACCAAAATTGATGAGCGCTCAACTCTGGTCCCTGTATCAAATGGTGTAGGATCTGTATACGATCGGCACATGTCTCCGATGTACGTTATTATGTCTTAACAGAGTATAAGCGTGACTTGAGGAGCTGTTTACTTTATTGTCTGGGAATAATAACAAGGAGAAGCCCTGCATGCTTTCAATACATGTACATTTTTAAAAAACACTTCCTAGTGTTAGTCAGCTGAATGTATGATGTGGAACCTGTAAATGGAGAAAGCTGACCTTAGTTCTCCAGGAAACTTCGGGTTACCAACTACACAGCCATGTGCTGTCTCCACTTCCATTGGCTAACCTCTGACTTGGAAGCACTCAGCAGGAATTGGCAAGAAAGAAATCACGAGTTTGACCTGTGACCTTAGAAATTCTCAAAAAGCATATAGCACAAACTCCCAAGTCCAGATAACAACAGACTAAGGCGTTCTAGGCCCTTTCTCTAGATTAATGGTTTAACCCATTAACCTTCCTCAACATCTGCCTCGGAGCACGTGGCCTACTACGTGCTTGATTTATCTAGATAATTTAGGATTTACTCCCTAAACATCTCTAAGACAAAAACGATTCCTTCAGTTCCAAATGCTAATGAGATAGAAAATACACTGAGGACTAATAAAGGCTTAATCGGTGTAGCTCAGCAGAAAAATAATGTGACTTACAAATGCAAATCAAAATGCAATTTCACATCTTCTGGCAAATACATTTAGAAAGAATAGAACTGGCTCTGGGGAGATGGCTCAGTGGGCAAAGGTGCTCGCTGTTTAAGTGTGAGGATCTGAGTTCAAATCCCCAAAACACACATAGAAAAGCCAGACATTTAGCACGCCTGCCTATAATCCTGGCCCTCCTACAGGAACGTGAGAGGTAGAGGAAGGCAAATTCCTGGGAGCTTGAGGCCCAGGTGGTGTGGCAGATGCCGCAGATAAACAACAAACCGAGACCCTGGCACAAATTAAGGTGGGAGGTAAGGACTGACACCTGAGATTGCCCTGACCCCCACAGACACGTATGTATGGCATGTGTGCTCCCACAGTCACACATATGAATGTGCATATACATACACAGCATAGTCGTAAGCACACATACACACAAAAGGACGAATATGTTGATTTAAAATGTTTTATTTAACCTAATATGTTCATTTTATAATTAACACATGATATGAAAATTGTTATAGTGGATTATTTATTTCCTTTGAGACAAGGTCTTGTGACAATGACCTGGCTGGATAATTACTCACTACATAACACCAACTAACTTGAACTCAAAGCAATCCTACTGCTTCAGCCTTTCAACTATTACCTGGATTATTAATATATAAAAAAAAACATGGCATACTTTACACAGTTTTCCCTACTAAGCACTTCAAATCTAGTATATGTTTTATATTTGCAGCACATTTCAATGCAGACTAGCTAATGTCAAATCCATAATGGCTACCTGACATCAAAGGCTCCACCCTCCACGGGGGCATTTTAAACGTTATGCAGTCTGACTAAGTCTTAAGCTCTGTTGTCATTCCTAGGGCAACTTCTAGGTGACAGCCTTCCTAGGATATCACAGACCTCACAAAGGACACACAGACATCCGTAAGGTATCTAGATATACATAGTAGGCACACCAATTCTTTATTTCCAGATCTTGTTATTTTAAAAGCACAAGGTAGGCCTTGGGGGCAGCTGGCTGATGGGGCTACCAGGTACCCATCCCATGCACTCTAGACCCCCCTTGGCTCTAACATCCTATCGTTTTGTTTTTAACATCTTATGATGTTGCTATGGTATGCATGACGGTTGGATGTCTCGACCCAGAAACTAAGATGATGCTGGTCTGACACCAGGCCCTCCCTCCCAGTCGGGTTGTTCCAATAAACATGCTGTGTGTTTTTCTTACTGTGCACGGGATTTCATTGTCAAGCTCCTCGAACACGGACACCCAGTTGTCCTGCTTGGCAACATTCCAGTTGGGGTAGTCTAAGAAGATGCCATGGGCCATGATCTCCTCCTTGTCATTACAGAGGGTAACAGCAAGGTTTGCCTTTTCTCTTTGAAAAGAATGAAAATACACACATTAGTAGAGACAACCAAAGTGAGGTGAAGGCAGGCCATCCTCTTCTTCCTGGGGCCCCTGGAGCTCTGGAGCGGCTGCGTGAGGTCTTGTTACAGCCAGAGTTGTGAGAATGATGTTGCTCAAAGTGTGGGTGTGTTTGTTCAGGGTGTATGAAGACATTAATCAAGTTGTTATTTAAAATTATGTTTTCACTAAAAGTGTTACATTTATCACAGTAAATATCCAATAGCCTTCTTTGGCACACTGAGCAGAACGCCATTCTATTGCATAGCTCCTCCACCTTCTCCAAGGTAGTAATACCACTGTGTTGATGTACACCCAGCACAGTTATAGACAGTTACAGTGGTCAACTGTCCTCTGCTGGGGACTAAGGTGTCACTCGAGACATGAGACTTCATGCTAAAAGCCAGGAAGGTCCTGGGAAAACTGAGATGGGTTGATCATCTGTGCACAAGTGGCAAAGCTGCATTTAGAGTCAGTTTTATTGGCACTCTTATGCAGGGTTCTTCTAAACCCCAAGCCCAGGTCCCAAGGCTGAGTTACACAAAATCTGAGTATCTTTAGTCACCAGCTCACTTTCTATTGCTGTGATAAACAACAGGACCAAAAGCAACTTAGCTCATCTTACACTTCCAGGTCATAGGCTATCACTAAGGGAAGTCAGGGCAGGAACTTAGAGGAGAAACCACAGAGGAATGGCGCTTACAAGCATGCTCCCAGGTTTACATCTAGTACTTTCCTAGGCTCCGGTGCACCCTGAGTTTTCGCTCTTCTCTTTCCCCTCCCCTTCCCCTCCACCTCCCCACCCCAACTCTCTCTTGCTAGGGAATGAGCTTTTAAACCTGGGGCCTCACCAATGGCAGGCAAGTACTCTATACACTAAGCCATATCTCTAGTCTCAGCTACCCTCTGCATGCTGTGAATATGACTGGTTAATGAATAAAGAAACTGGCTTGGCCTGATAGGGCAAAGTAGAGCTAGGTGGGGAATACTAAATTGAATGCTGGGAGAAAGAAGGTGGTGTCAGGGAGAAGCCATGTAGCCCCACTGGAGACAGAGGTCAGAGCTTTACCCAGTAAGCCACAGCCTCGTGGTGATGCACAGATTAATAGAGATGGGTTAATTTAAGATATGAGTTAGCCAGAAATACACTTAAGCTATTGGCCAAACAGTATTGCAAATAATATGGTTTCTGTGTGATTATTTCAGGGCTGAGCAGCCAGGAACAAACTAGCAGCCCCCTACAATAAATTGGCACTCCAATGTGTGTCAGCTAAATCCACATAAAACCTGAGAGGTCTTAGAAAGGAATTCTAGACACTAAAAAACAAAGTTTAGCCACATTTTCTCCCATATGGGATTTGCTTGTTGGCAGTGTGCTGCAACTCTTTAAAGAGAGGTCTTCCTGATTCAGCAGTAGCAGAAAAAAAGCTGCATGGTTTTGGAACAGCGGCTTTTCTGGGCCATGCTGCCAGCGCAAACTCTGGCCTTTTCAAAAAGCCAAGCATTTAAATGGGTTTTGTAGGCAGCATGCTGCAAGTTACTTGGTGGCAGCTTGGGCCCCTTGGCTATCAAAGTTGAGGTGATGAACGTGGCTCCCACCCAGCAGTCTCAGAGGCAGTGAATGGACTTCAGCCATGTTGGACTGAGCAGAGCAAGCAGGCAGGGTCATATTTGTCCTTGCAATGCTTCTGCTTAGGTTTTTAAGAAGCACTTAGTATTTTAAGAAGCAGTTCTGGTCAGAAAAAATAACATATACACAATAAAGAAAATTCAGATGGAAAAGACCTCTAAATGGGTCACAGTGTTAGATAAATGTATGTAGGCTTAGGGGAGAGAAGAAAAAGAGTTATAGAGAATTGGGAAAGAAGTAAATTGTTTAAAAAATAAATAAAACAAAGTCTTTAAAGAGACAGACAATCATAGATTAAATGAATAAAGAAAAAAAGCAATTTAAGATGGAATATACACAGAGTCTGGATTATGTATACTATTGTGTTTTTTTTTTTTTTTA